ATTATACACTTCTGAACTATATAGCGCTATTAAATTCATTGGCCATTATACGAAAGAATTCATATTCCAAATATGGTTCATATGGGGTGACAACCAGTTGAATGATGGGATCATGCTGTAACCCGGGTCCATATGGGGTGACAACCAGTTGAATGATGGGATCATGCTGTAACCCGGGTCCATATGGGGTGACAACCAGTTGAATGATGGAAGCATGCTCTAACCCGGGTCCATATGGGGTGACAACCAGTTGAATGATGAGATCATGCTGTAACCCGGGACCATATGGGGTGACAACCAGTTGAATGATGGGAGCATGCTGTAACCCGGGTCCATATGGGGTGACAACCAGTTGAATGATGAGATCATGCTGTAACCCGGGTCCATATGGGGTGACAACCAGTTGAATGATGGGAGCATGCTCTAACCCGGGTCCATATTGGGTGACAACCAGTTGAATGATGGGATCATGCTGTAACCCGGGTCCATATGGGGTGACAAACAGTTAAATGAAGGGATCATGCTGTAACCCGGGTTCATATGGGGTGACAACCAGTTGAATGATGGGATCATGCTCTAACCCGGGTCCATATGGGGTGACAACCAGTTGAATGATGGGATCATGCTGTAACCCAGGAATCCATATATGGGGTGACAACCAGTTGAATGATGGGATCATGCTCTAACCCGGGTCCATATGGGGTGACAACCAGTTGAATGATGGGAAGCTGCTCTAACCCGGGTCCATATGAGGTGACAACCAGTTGGTGATGGGATCAAACCAGTTGAATGATGGATGAGCATGCTCTAACCCGGTCCATATGGGGTGACAACCAGTTGAATGATGGGAGCATGCTCTAACCCGGGTCCATATGGGGTGACAACCAGTTGAATGATGGGAGCATGCTCTAACCCGGGTCCATGACAACCAGTTGAATGATGGGAGATGCTGTAACAACCAGTTGAATGATGGGATCATGCTCTAACCCTGGGTCCATATGGGGTGACAACCAGTCCATATATGGGGTGACAACCAGTTGAATGATGGGATCATGCTCTAACCCGGGTCCATATGGGGTGACAACCAGTTGAATGATGGAAGCATGCTCTAACCCGGGTCCATATGGGGTGACAACCAGTTGAATGATGGGAGCATGCTCTAACCCGGGTCCATATGGGGTGACAACCAGTTGAATGATGGGATTGATGCTCTCTAACCCGGGTCCATATGGGGTGACAACCAGTTGAATGATGGAAGCATGCTCTAACCCGGGTCCATATGGGGTGACAACCAGTTGAATGATGGGAACATGCTCTAACCCGGGTCCATATGGGTGACAACCAGTTGAATGATGGGAGAGCATGCTCTAACCCGGGTCCATATGGGGTGACAACCAGTTGAATGATGGGGGCAGTTGAATGCTCTAACCCGGGTCCATATGGGGTGACAACCAGTTGAATGATGGGAGCATGCTTGTAACCCGGGTCCATATGGGGTGACAAACCAGTTGAATGATGGGAAGCATCATGCTCTAAACCCGGGTCCATATGGGGTGACAACCAGTTGAATGATGGAAGCATGCTCTAACCCGGGTCCATATGGGGTGACAACCAGTTGAATGATGGGAGCATGCTGTAACCCGGGTCCATATGGGGTGACAACCAGTTGAATGATGGGAGCATGCTCTAACCCGGTCCATATGGGGTGACAACCAGTTGAACCCGGGTCCATATGGGGTGACAACCATGATGGGAAGCATGCTGTAACCCGGGTCCATATGGGGTGACAACCAGTTGAATGATGGGAGCATGCTCTAACCCGGTCCATATGGGGTGACAACCAGTTGAATGATGGAAGCATGCTCTAACCCGGTCCATATGGGTGACAACCAGTTGAATGATGGGAGCATGCTGTAACCCGGGTCCATATGGGGTGACAACCAGTTGAATGATGGGAGCATGCTCTAACCCGGGTCCATATGGGGTGACAACCAGTTGAATGATGGGAAGCATGCTCTAACCCGGGTCCATATGGGGTGACAACCAGTTGAATGATGGGAGCATGCTCTAACCCGGGTCCATATGGGGTGACAACCAGTTGAATGATGGGAGCATGCTCTAACCCGGGTCCATATGGGGTGACAACCAGTTGAATGATGGGAGCATGCTCTAACCCGCATGCTCTAACCCGGGTCCATATGGGGTGACAACCAGTTGAATGATGGGATGCAACCCGCTATGGGGTGACAACCAGTTGAATGATGTCCATATGGGGTGACAACCAGTTGAATGATGGAAGCATGCTGTAACCCGGGTCCATATGGGGTGACAACCAGTTGAATGATGGAAGCATGCTCTAACCCGGGTCCATATGGGGTGACAACCAGTTGAATGATGGGAGCATGCTCTAACCCGGGTCCATATGGGGTGACAACCAGTTGAATGATGGAAGCATGCTCTAACCCGGGTCCATATGGGGTGACAACCAGTTGAATGATGGAAGCATGCTCTAACCCGGGTCCATATGGGGTGACAACCAGTTGAATGATGGAAACCCGCATGCTCCAGCCGAATGATGGAAGCATGCTGTAACCCGGGTCCATATGGGTGAAACCAGTTGAATGATGGAAGCATGCTCTAACCCGGTCCATATGGGGTGACAAATCAGTTGAATGAATATTAGGAAGCATGCTCCATATGGGGTGACAACCAGTTGAATGATGGGCATGCTGTAACCCGGTCATGCTGACAACCAGTTGAACCATGCTGTAACCATCCATGGGGTGACAACCAGTTGAATGATGGAAGCATGCTCTAACCCGGGTCCATATGGGGTGACAACCAGTTGAATGATGGAAGCATGCTCTAACCCGGGTCCATATGGGGTGACAACCAGTTGAATGATGGGAGCATGCTGTAACCCGGGTCCATATGGGGTGACAACCAGTTGAATGATGGGAGCATGCTGTAACCCGGGTCAACCAGTTGATGGGGAAGCATGCCTCTAACCTGACAACCCAGTTGAATGATGGGAGCATGCTGTAACCCAACCCGGTCCATATGGGGTGACAACCAGTTGAATGATGGGCAGCTGTAGCATGCTCTAACCCGGGTCCATATGGGGTGACAACCAGTTGAATGATGGGACAACCAGTTGATGCTGTAACCCGGGTCCATATGGGGTGACAACCAGTGATGGGAAGCAATATGGGGTGACAACCAGTTGAATGATGGAAGCATGCTCTAACCCGGGTCCATATGGGGTGACAACCAGTTGAATGATGGGAGCATGCTGTAACCCGGGTCCATATGGGGTGACAACCAGTTGAATGATGGGAGCATGCTCTAACCCGGGTCCATATGGGGTGACAACCAGTTGAATGATGGGAGCATGCTGTAACCCGGGTCCATATGGGGTGACAACCAGTTGAATGATGGGATCATGCTGTAACCCGGGTCCATATGGGGTGACAACCAGTTGAATGATGAAAGCACGCTCTAACCCGGGTCCATATTGGGTGACGACCAGTTGAATGATGGGAATATGCTCTAACCCGTGTCCTTATTGTGTGACAACCAGTTGAATGATGGGAACATGCTCTAACCCGTGTCCTTATTGGGTGACAACCAGTTGAATGATGGAAGCATGCTCTAACCCGGGTCCACATCTTCGGTACATAATCCTTTAGGTACTTCAGCTGTAAGTATTGTACAGCGATTTGTATTAATGTGTAATTTGTAAACATGTGTGTAGTGGGTATAACGCTGCCCTGAAAGTGAGGAAAATTCGGATGTCTTAACCTAAATATTCACTCAAGGCAAGGCATAGCCACAGCCTTACTCATGTCTCATCACACTTAGCAGAAATGTGAACTTTTAATATTAGAACTTCTATATTTTCAACCTGTGTGTTCGAGATTCATGACAGATTAGCACACGATGTCGACAACCCGTTTTCAGCCTGCAAGGGGGTCTGAGACTCTCTGCTGAAATAGAAAACGTACGTCAGAGGATATGCGTGGACATGGTGGGGGTAAAGAACATGATGTAAACAACCCTGTCCTCGTGTCTTCGCGAAGCTGAAAATTGTCTGGATTAAAGAATAAGCTATCCAGAAAACACTGAAAAAATAGAGAAGTTGTACATGAAACATTTGCAGAAATCCAGGGATGAGTTCGAGGATAAAATACGACACATCCTAGATAAACTTCAACACGTAAGGCGGAAACAGATATCAGACGAGGCACAGCTGAGGGACAAAATCAAGGTACCAGTAGAAAATCTATGCTACAGCTACTGACACTAACTGCTATAATGTGTTTGTTATAAAGGATCTACCATCTTAAGATAATGAAGAATAAACCACAGGCATCACCACAAATAAAGTTTCAGTAGCAGTAGTACTACACAGAAGCGCCAGTAAAAGACCTGGCATAGTGATCGAGCGGGTCAGCGATGCTGAGAAAAATTAAGAATAATGAAAAACAGGGCAAAGGATACGAAATTATCTATATTGCAATATCCCGTTGATCCGAAGAACCTTAGTGAACCTTCTAAAATAACTGAAAAAAACGAGACAAAACGTTAAAGGCAATAGTATATTCAAAAGGAAAGGTCAGAATGTCGAATCTTCGACTGAGCCCTTGGGAGTGTGTTGGATGGCCCACAAAAAGTAACGGAAACTTTAGTTTTAGAGAACATCGTATTAAGACAAGTGGAAATGATATCTTATCCCTCTTTAAAACATTTTTACGTGACAATGTACATGTTCAGGGTTATAAATGGTTCGGTCATAGTAGAAAACAAGGTGACAAGAAAGGTCAATGGGGTTCAGAAGGCGCGTGGTTCCTGATCAAGAACAATTTAACCAATATTTTCAAAATCTCAGTTTTGGGTGATACAGCTGAAAATATTTTATGGCTAAACTTAGAAGCCCGTTACGTCTCCCCCCGTTCATGGTCGTGCAATGTACCACGTGCAGGATCATCACGTGCAAGAGGACCGAGATCGGGTTTTCCGTGACTCCCTATGCCACGTGTACGCATACCGAAATGACAGTATCTTGTGTATGTGGCGATTTCAGCGCTTGACGTGGAACTCAAATGGATCACATCGATCGAGTGGCCAAAATACATCCCAGGTCAGTCAATTATTGCAATGACAATATCTATAGAACGATGTTACTCGACTTACTTTGTGATGTCATCTTCTGCATGTTGGACAGTTTCGTGACAGTAATGACGTATTGGAGATCGGTCGTTGACTGTGTTATAGTACCGCACGAGCAGATTTGTAACTTTACAATTTCAAACTATGTCAAGTATCATCTCATCGTTTTGTGTTACTGTGCCGGAGCAATATAAACGTCATTATATTGTGTGATACTAACTCCGTCCTTGAGAGGTTGGTTGGTTGTTTAACGCCGCATGCAGCAATATTCCAGCTATATGGCGGCGGTCTGTAAATAATCGAGTCTGGACCAGACAATCCACTGATCAATATCATAAGCATCGTTCTACACAACTGGAATACGATGACATGTGTGTCAACCAAGTCAGCGAGCCTGACCACCCGATCCCGTCATTTGCCTCTTGCGACAAGCATGGGTTACTGAGGATCAATTCTAACCCGAATCTTCACGGGTTGCCTTGAAAGGTAGAAGGATGACATTGAACGTTTATACGGTTATTTCCCACACCCTGAAAATAACTTTGACTATGAAAAACTGGAGAATATGGTGCAAGAATTATCAAATTATGTAAACAGAAGACAAACTGTGATGCCTAGAACGTCCTTAACTCGCTTGTAGAAGAACAGAAAGCAACAGAGCGTGCTCTAAAAAGACGATGGGTATTCTTGATAACCTTTCAACAGAGTTTCTGAAAAAATGCACTGGGCATATGTTCCTAGTGATGACTCATTGCTTTGATGACCCGTGAAGATCGGGTTAGAATTGATCTTCAGTAACCCATGCTTGTCGTAAGACAAACGGCGACTAACGAGATCGGGTGGTCATACTCGTTGACTTGGTTGACACATGAAATCGTACACCAATTGCGTAGATCGATGTTCATGCTGTTCATCAAAGGATTGCCTGGTGCCGGTGAGGGTGGTCTTTCCCGGAGGAGCATTTCCTCCTAACCTTTGGACTTCATGATTTATGTGCAGACAGTATGAAGCAGCAAAATGAAGACTTAGTACACTGTGACAGTAAATGGTTTGCCGTTTAATGCCAATTCACATTCACGACCAGGCGGCAAATATAAAGTGTATGAACTGTGGGTAGATTTGAATATGACTATCGGTATTATCCTATATGATGCTGATATTGTATAATTGTCTTTCTCCCAGGTTAAACTGTACAATGATTAACGCTGTTAATGATTGGTGTCAAAAGTGGCGACTTCCGGTTACTCCCACACAAACCAAGATTGTCCATTTAGGCCCTCAAACGAAACATTGCTCCTCAACCAATGTTTCCATTGGCGAAACCCATCCTAAGTATGGCAACAACTACATATATACTTATGGAAACGAATAAGAGAACACAGGGAAGTTAGGGGTGAAACGGTATACCGTGGTATTAGTAGAACCGCGGTATTTTGCCTTCGGTTCGGTATATCGTAATGCAGTAAAAAAAATCAGTATTTTCAGTTTTCGTACCGTCATTTATTATCCTTTTAAAACCTTTTCTAAAATATCTAGAAATTGAATCATTTTGTCAAAACCTATGCATATCTTGGCCAGACGGCCGCTTATTTGTCGGAAGTGAATTCTCATATACCGAACCGAAACGGACCGAACCGAAGGCCTTGTACCGCAATACGTACCGTACCATGATAAGAGCGTACCGTTTCACCCCTAATGAAGTACACGTGTTCCTACATATATTTCCAGAATTTCACCAATAGTGCAATGTGTTCCCTTTTTCGTTTCCATGAGTATATATTGGTGTATGGCTTAGTGAACAATAAGACGTTAATTTCACAACTAACGATCAATCTAAATCGGCAAGTCCCGATTTTGTTGTTTTATGTACTAAAGACTTTAACACAGGTGGTCTTAAATGTGCAAGTTATACTTAATTGTATGAATCCTTGGACCAGCCTATCATAATGGATGGTGCTGCCATGTGGATGGGTGGGTGAGTGGGTGGCTGTATGAACCCATAAAGTTAAACTCAACAAAAACAAGAAGACTGGCCTTAGATGTAACACATCTAATGTTCCACACGGTGAGACATATATAGGCTGGAAATCATGTGTTACAAAGCAACATGTATAAGTATTTCGGTTAAGTTTCCACCTTAACAATACAGAAATTGCAAGACTGCCCCGTATTATTTCTGCCGGATCAAGTGAAAATGGACGCTTTTGAGAAACGGAAGATATCAGGCAAGCTGCCAGAAATGTGATGGATGTCCAGTCGGTGACACGTTGTGAGTTGTCTCAAACTGGATGAAACTGTCTTGTTTTCAGAGCTTTGAAATGGTGTTAATAATCTGAATGGAAATGAGTTAAGGACATATAGATTGCTTAAAAAGGATGTAGCGCCAGAGCCTGTGAAAGAGGGGTATGCTGGGGGTTCACGAGTGAGAGGTATACATTAGGTGAGGGAGGCGTGTGCTGGGGGTGAGTGAGAGGTGTGCTGGGGGGTGAGGGAGGGGTGTGCTGGGGGTGAGTGCTGTGCTGGGGGGGTGAGGGAAGGTGTGCTGGGGGCGAGGGAAGGGTGTGCTGTGGGTGAGGGAGGGGTGTGCTGTGGGTGAGGGAGGGGTGTGCTGGGTGGTGAGGGAGGGAGGGGTGTGCTGGTGGTGAGGGAGGGGTGTACTGGTGGTGAGGGAGGCGGGGTGCTGGTGGTGAGGGGTGAGGGGTGTGCTGGATGTGAGGGAGGGGTGTGCTGGTGGTGAGGGAGGGGTGTGAGGGGGAGAGGTGTGCTGGATGTGAGGGAGGGATGTGTGAGGGAGAGGTGTGCTGGGAGTGAGGGAGGGGTGTGCTGGATGTGAGGGAGGGATGTGCTGATGGTGAGGGAGGGGTGTGTGAAGGAAGGGGGATGTGCTGGATGTGAGGGAGGGGTGTGCTGGTGGTGAGGGAGGGGTGCACTGGTGGTGAGGGAGGCGTGTGCCGGGGCTGAGAGGGGGTGTGAGGTGAGGTGTGAGGGAGAGGTGTGCTGGTGTGAGGGAGAGGTGTGCTGGGAGTGAGGGAGAGGTGTGCTGGGGTGAGGGAGGGGCGTCCTGTGGGTGAGGGAGAGGTGTGCTGGGGATGAGGGAGGCGTGTGGAGGGAGGGGTGTGCTGGTGGTGAGGGAGAGGTGTGCTGGGAGTGAGGGAGGGGTGTGCTGGGGCTGAGGGAGGGGTGTGTGCTGGGGCTGAGGGAGGGGTGTGCTGGGGCTGAGGGAGGGTGTGCTGGTGGTGAGGGAGGCATGTGCTGGGGCTGAGGGAGAGGTGTGAGGTGAGGTGAGAGGTGTGCTGGGGTGAGGGAGGGGCGTGCTGTGGGTGAGGAGGGAGGCGTGTGCTGGTGGTGGAGGCTGGGGGGTGAGGAGGGGCGTGCTGCTGGTGGGGAGGAGTGTGCTGGTGGTGTGCTGGGGGTGAGGGAGGCGCGTGCTGGGATTGAAGGAGGCAATTGCTTGGGGTGAAGGAGGCGTATGCTGGGGTGTGCTGGGGGTGAAGGGGGGGAGTAAGTTTGTAAATACTCAATTTCCACATAGCGATGGTCCACTGAAACAACTTGGCAGACATTCCTAAACAATTGCTAAGTAACAGCGCGTGCATATGACCAAAGATCTTATCGACATGTCCTGACTATTCTTGGGTTTCAGACGACATTTTTCATTAAAAGGATATTTCACATGATTTGCAGTCTGTTATCAAATCTACACGCGCGTCGCTATGTCCTGTGCGCATGAATACAAAGTGTGCAATGTCACTTTTGGTATGCACAAATGAGAAAATACAAACATTTTTCCAGCCTGAGTTGCCCATCACCCAGGCTCATAAACAGACGACATATGTTCTGGTTATGTTAGCTACAGTTAGCAGTTTATGCCACACAGCTTACCTAAACTACCGAGCAATGGGCTATTGTTCAGAACAGGCCATATCGATTTCCGACGATTTGGTACGAATAGTGTAGTGCAGAAGGGTATATATATAATTCGGTGGTTAATTTGGACCTTCCAACCGTTGAGACTACATTATGCGTTTGATAGTGAGAAGTGCACAGGTAAGTAGGGTTTGTTTGTTTTAAAAAAACAAACCACAACAATATTTGTGTGTATGCCGCCGCTCACCCTGTCAGGACTACAACTGTGTGGCATCGGGTAACAAGCAATCTATTTTTGCAAATTGTGTGAGTGGTGGATGATTATTCTCTCTGCTATTATGCCTTTATTCCAAATTATATTTGTTGATATGATTATCAGTCAGAGAGTCGGTGAGTTTAGTTTTACGCCACTTTTCGCTCCAGCAATATCGGTACAGGGGACACCAGAAATGGCACTCTCCAACCAAGAGTTCTATGCGGCAAGCCAGCATAGTATCTCTGCCACAGGCCAGAATAACGTGACGATTCGTCACATCTTGCAATGTCCATTCAATATAATGTACAGATTTCTTTCATTCTTTTATTTTTTTATTTTTGACGAGTCTACAGATCTAACTAAACATCCTTAATAGAATGGTTTAGTTTCACTGAGATAATATCCAAAAACATGTAAGACTATTTCGATTTGCGCAGCGATCCTTTGATTACATAGGTTGTACGGCTCCACATGCTGTCATCGAAGCCGATGGAGAGCAAACGATGCAGCCAGTTTGATATCTAAATATGTACTGTCATAGACCTAACTGTCGCAGTTGTGGAAGAATATATATGTAACACATTATGAAGAGAGCGCCGAAAAGCTTTCGTGACTCCAGTCTCTTCTTATTATGAATATGCGCGTTTGAGTACAAACAAGAGAAAAGTCCGGTCACGTGATATGCAAAATAGCCTGTGGCAGTGATGTTATGTTAGTCATCGCTGTGCCGGAGTGTGCAGAAATGGGCTTCACACATCTTACCACGTGGGGAATCGAACCCGGCTCTTCAGCGTGTCAAGCGAAGGTTTTAACCACTAGGCTACCCCACCGCCCCTATCAGATGGTCA